CAAGACACCCCACCCAACAAGAACCCCCCAACAAGACCCCGAGACCCCCCCAACAAGACCCCCACCCAACAAGAGACACCCCACACCCCAACAACCCCACCCAAACAAGACACCCCCACCCAACAAGACACCCCCAACCAACAGAGACCCCCCACCCAAGACACCCCCCAACAAGACCAACAAGACACCCCACCCAACAAGAGACCCCCACCCAACAAGACCCACCCCACACCCCCACACCAAGACACCCCACACCCAAACAAGACACCCCCCAACAAGAACCCCCACCCAACAAGACACCCCCACCCAACAAGACACCCCACCAACCCCCACCAACAAGACACCCAACAAGACACGACCCCACCCAACAAGAGACCCCCACCCAACAAGACACCCCCACCCACAAGAGACCCCCCCAACCCCCCCACCACAAGACACCCCACCCAACAAGACACCCCACCCAACAAGAGACCCCCACCCAACAAGAGACACCCACCCAACAAGACACCCAACCACCCAACCCGAGACCCCCACCCAACCACCCACCGACACCCCAACCCAACAAGACCCCCACCCAACAAGACACCCCCACCCAACAAGACACCCCCACCCAACCGACACCCACCCAACACGACCCCCACCCAACAAGACCCCCACCCAACCACCCAACACCCCCACCCAAACAAGAGACCCCCACCCAACACGACACCCCCACCCAACAAGACACCCCCACCCAACAACAGACCCCCCCCACCCAACAAGACCCACCCCCACCCAACAAGACCCCCCAACAAGACACCCCCACCCACCCACAAGACACCCCCACCCAACCACACAAGACACCCCACACACCCCCACCAACAAGAGACCCCCCCAACAAGACACCCCCACCCCAACACGACACCCCCACCCACCCCACAAGACCCCCCCACAAGACCAACAAGACCCCCACCCAACAAGACACCCCCACCCAACACGAGACCCCACCCAACACGAAGACCCCCCACCCACCCACAACAAGACACCCCCACCCCCCACCCAACAAGACACCCCACCCAACAAGACCCACCCAACCCCCCCACCCAAACAAGACACCCCCCCACAAAGACACCCCCACCAACAAGACACCCCCACCACCCAACAAGAACACCCCCCCACCCAACAAGACACCCACCCAACAAAGACCCCCCACCCAAACAGACACCCCACCCAACAAGACCCCCCACCCAACAAGACACCCCACCCAACAAGACCCCCCACCCAACAAGACACCCCCACCCAACACGAGAGACCCCCACCACCCAACAAGACCCCCCACCCAACAAGACACCCCACCCACCCAACAAGACACCCACCCACCCACCCACAAGACACCCCCACCCAAACAAGACACCCCACCCAACACGACACCCCCACCCAACAAGACACCCCCACCCAAACAAGACACCCCCACCCAACAAGACACCCCACCCAACCACCCACCCACAAGACACCCCCACCCAACAAGAGACCCCCACCCAACAAGACCACCGAGACCCCCACCCAACAAGACACCCCAACAAGAACCCCCCACCCAACAAGAGACCCCACCCAACAAGACACCCCCACCCAACAAGACACCCCACCCAACAAGACACCCACCCAACAAGACACCCCCACCCAACAAGAGACCCCCACCCACAGAGAAGACACCCCACCCCAACAAGACACCCCACCCAACAAGAGACCCCCACCCAACAAGACACCCCCACCCAACCCAACAAGACACCCCCACCCAACAAGAACCCCCACCAGACACCCCCCACCCAACAAGACACCCCCACCCACCCCCCCCCCACCCAACAAGACACCCACCCAACAAAGAGACCCCCACCCAAACAAGACACCCCACCCACACAACACCCAGACACCCCCACCCAACAAGAGACCCCCCACCCAACACGACACCCCCACCCAACAAGAACCCCCACCCAACAAGACACCCCCCCCCAACAAGACACCCCACCCAACAAGACACCCCCACCCAACACAACAAGAGACCCCCACCCAACAAGACACCCCCACCCCCACCCAAGACACCCCCCTCAACTCAAACTCGTCTAATTCAGAGGAAAGAGTGACATCATGAAACTTTAGATTTTTTAAGTAAAGTTGTGAACAATGTGCTCTAAAAACCTGGACTAAACTAGAACTAAACCAGGACTAAACCAGGACTAAATCAGGACTAAAACTTAAACCAAAACAGGACTAAAGCAGAACTAAACCTGGACTAAACTGGGACTAAACCGGGTCTAAACCAGGACTAAACCAAAAAAAATAAATAAATAATAAATAATATTCTGATGTAAATATGTGACATGTTGCAGTGAAAACTCCACACTGGGCACATGGCAGGTCGGTCTCGCCTCTCCACAGATCTGAGCTGTGACCTGCTGACATTCTTCTGCTTGTCTCCATGGATACGGATAAACTGCACTGTGGAACATTTCGGACAAAACAAAAACAGCTCCAGGAAGAACAGAAAAGGAAAACAGAACTGAACCAGGACTAAACCAGGACTAGACCAGGACTAAACCAGGTCTAAACCAGGTCTAAACCAAGATTAAACCAGGACTAAAACTTAAACCAAAACAGGACTAAAGCAGAACTAAACCTGGACTAAACCGGGACTAAACCGGGTCTAAACCAGGACTGAACCAGGACTGTACCAGGACTAAAACTAAAACCAAAGCAGGACTAAACCAGGACTAAAGCAGGACTAAATCAGGACTGAACCACACCCTTATAAAAAGTGCGTCTCTGTTAGTGTGGGTCTGTGGGCTGTGGTGGTTTTGATCCAGGGGAGGGGTCTTGGTCTGGGTCTGGGGTCTGGTCTGGTTTCGGGGTCTTTTTCTGGAGTCGGCTCGTGCTGTGGTGGGAGGAGGGGGGTCTGTGGTTTTGGTCCAGTTTGGGTCCGGGTCTGGGTCTGGGTCTGGGCGGGGGTCTCTGCTCTGGTCTGTAATTAAAACAACTCTGAAGATTCAGCCAAATGCCCCTGATGCCCTCCCAACAAAAACACACACTTCTATATTACTCACAAGAACTGAAGACCGGTCCTGGTTTAGTCCTGGTTTAGTCCTGGTTTAGTCCTGGTTTAGTCCTGGTTTAGTCTTGGTTTAGTCCTGGTTTAGTCCTGGTTTAGTCCTGGTTTAGTCCTGGTTTAGTCTGGTTTAGTCCTGGTTTAGTCCTGGTTTAGTCTAGTCCTGGTTAGTCCTGGTTTAGTCCTGGTTTAGTCCTGGTTTAGTCTGGTTTAGACCTGGTTTAGTCCTGGTTTAGTCCTGGTTTAGTCCTGGTTTAGTCCTGGTTTAGTCCTGGTTTAGTCCTGGTTTAGTCCTGGTTTAGTCCTGGTTTAGTCCTGGTTTAGTCCTGGTTTAGACCTGGTTTAGACCTGGTTTAGTCCTGGTTTAGTCCTGGTTTAGACCTGGTTTAGTCCTGGTTTAGACCTGGTTTAGTCCTGGTTTAGTCCTGGTTTAGACCTGGTTTAGTCCTGGTTTAGTCTTGGTTTAGACCTGGTTTAGTGATGGTTTAGTCCTGGTTTAGTCCTGGTTTAGACCTGGTTTAGTCCTGGTTTAGTTCTGGTTCTGTATCATTTTTATAAATACCTTTTTGTTTCTATTTTTATCTGTTCATTTGTGAACGTGTCATTGCTCCAAACCGTCACCGCGGAAACTGCCTCCTCCCGTCGCCGCGGTGACCAGCATCCCCCGGTCGCCGTGGAAACACAAACTCCAACATGTGGTCAGAGGAAAGATCATTTTGTTCATTTTGTTCTTTTTGTTCTGTTTTGTTTTTGTTCTGTTTTTTTGCTTTAGAATGTTTCACTGTGTGGCATTAGAGTATCTATCGCTATGGAGACAGGGGCTGGTTTACAGGTCCGGTCTGTGGAGAGGCAAGCCCGTTCAGGCTAAATGACAGATGAGTTTAATGCCACACTGTGGAACATTCCAGACAAAGCATCAGTGTCTCCATGGTGACAGCAGGTGGTGGACTCCCCAGAGGAAATGTTACATAATGCAGCTTTTATGTCTCATATTATTGACCAGGACTAAACCAGGACTAAACCAGGACTAAACCAGGTCTAAACCAGGACTAAACCAGGACTAAACCAGGACTAAACCAGGTCTAAACCAGTTCTAAACCAGGACTAAACCAGGACTAGACCAGGTCTAAACCAGGACTAAACCAGGTCTAAACCAGGACTAAACCAGGACTAAACCAGGACTAAACCAGGACTAAACCAGGTCTAAACCAGGACTAAACCAGTACTAAACCAGGACTAAACCAGGTCTAAACCAGGACTAAACCAGGACTAAACCAGGACTAAACCAGGTCTAAACTAGGACTAAACCAGGACTAAACCAGGTCTAAACCAGGTCTAAACTAGGACTAAACCAGGACTAAACCAGGTCTAAACCAGAATTAAACCAGGTCTAAACCAGGACTAAACCAGGTCTAAACCAGGACTGAACCAGATCTAAACCAGGACTAAACCAGGACTAAACCAGGTCTAAACCAGGACTAAACCAGGACTAAACCAGGACTAAACCAGGACTGAACCAGGTCTCAGTCAGTAAAACTTCTGTCTAATTTCTATTTCAAATTTCGATATTTGTTTTCGTATCAATTCTGGTCCAGACTTTTGTAAAATTGTAAAATTGATGCAGTGAATCATTTTGAAACTGGAGTATTTTGAGTTTGAGAAAAATATTTAGAATCTTTTTTTTTTTTTTTTTTTCAGTGTTTTTGTTGGCGAGAGGAAAGGAGGGAAACTGTGACATCACGAAATCCTGAACACGTCACCGACCAAATATGGACAAAAAAAGAAGAAGTGACTCACAGAGAAGAAGAAGAAGAGAGAGAGAGAGAGAGAGAGAGAGAGAGAGATGAAGAGAGAGAGAGAGAGAGAGAGAGAGAGAGAGAGAGAGAGAGAGAGAGAGAGAGAGAGAGAGAGAGAGAGAGAGAGAGAGAGAGAGAGAGAGAGAGAGAGAGAGAGAGAGAGAGATAGGGAGAGAGAGATAAAGGGAAGAGAGAGAGAAGAGAGATGGAAGATAGAGAGAGACAGAGAGCAAGAAAGAGAAGAGAGAGAGACAGAGAGAGAGAGAAAGAGAAGAAAGAGGGAGAGAAAGAGAGAGGAGGTTAAAGGAGAGAGGGAAGAGAGGGGGGGAAAGAGGAGGAAGAGAGGAAAGAGAGGTTTGGGGGAGAGAGATAAAAGGAGAGAGGAGAGAGAGAGGGAAGTGGGGGAGAGAGGAGAGAGAGAGAAGGAAAAGAAGCGTGGGGGGAGAAAGAGGAGGAAGAGAGAGAGGGAGGAGGGGAGGTAGAGAGAATGGAGAGAAGGAGCTGAAAGAGGAGGAGAGGAAGAGAGAGAGGAGAAATGGAGAACGTGGGATTAATCAAAAAAAGGGAAGGAGGGAGTGAGGTGAAGGGAGGAAGAAAGAGAGAGACGGAGAGAGGGTTAAGAAAGAAAGAGAGCAAGTGGGAAGAGTGGAGGAGAGAGAAGAGAGAGTGTGGAGGAGAGAGAGAGAGATGAAGAGGAGGAGGAGGTGTGGGAAAAACAGAAAACAGGTGACAACAAAAGACGAATACAGATTTATATAAGACATTATAAAAGAAGTGAGAGAGGAAGAAGAGAGAGATGACGAGGAGGAGAGAGAGAGAAACAGAGAGAGAAACAGAGAGAGAGAACAGAGAGAGAGGAGAGGAGGATGAGAGGAGGATGAGAGGAGGAGGAGTGGGAACAAACACTCAAAACAAAGGTGTTAAAATAGAGATACAACCATTTACATAATATATTATATAAGAACTGAACCAGGACTAAAACAGGACTAAACAGGGACTAAAACAGGACTAAACCAGGACTAAAACAGGTCTAAACCTGGACTAAACCAGGTCTAAAACAGGTCTAAACCAGGTCTAAACAGGGACTAAACAGGGACTAAACCAGGACTAAACCTGGACTAAACCAGGTCTAAACCAGGTCTAAACCTGGACTAAACCAGGTCTAAACCAGGTCTAAACCTGGACTAAACCAGGACTAAACCTGGACTAAACCAGGACTAAACCTGGACTAAACCAGGTCTAAACCAGGTCTAAACCAGGTCTAAACCAGGACTAAACCAGGACTAAACCTGGACTAAACCAGGTCTAAACCTGGACTAAACCAGGTCTAAACCAGGTCTAAACCAGGTCTAAACCAGGACTAAACCAGGACTAAACCAGGTCTAAACCTGGACTAAATCAGGACTAAACCAGGACTAAACCAGGTCTAAACCAGGTCGAAACTTTGACTAAACCAGGACTAAACGGACTAAACCAGGACTAAAACAGGACTAAACCAGGTTTAAACCTGGACTAAACCAGGTCTAAACCAGGTCTAAACGAAGACTAAACCAGGACTAAACCAGGACTAAATCATCCTGTTGTAAATGTGATCTTTAAATAAAGTTGAGGAACAGAGTCTCAGGTGGCTGAAGTTCAGGAGGAGAATCTGACCAACATGGACTTGTCCTGCACAAGATTTAAATGATTATTTATGAACTTTTATTCATCATTTAACTGTCTCAGTGTGAGGAAATGTGTGATCTGGTTCAGTCCTGGTTTAGTCCTGGTTTAGTCCTTTTTTAGACCTGGTTTAGTTCTTGTTTAGTCCTTGTTTAGTTCTGGTTTAGTTCTGGTTTAGTCAAAGTTTCCCCTGAGAGTTTTGAACCTCTGAGGTTCTGAACCTCAAACTTCCTCTTTCTCTGTTTCTGTTTCCGCCTCTTTCTCTCACCGCAACATCCCCGTTTAGACCTGCTTTAGACCTGGTTTAGTCTTGGTCCAGTCTTGGTCCAGTTCTGGTTTAGTCCTGGTTTCTGCTCCAGTTTCAGAGTTTTGTGGTTGTAGGTTTTATTCCCATGGAACAGAACAGAAACTCTCTGGAGTTTGCATCTTCTCCCCGCGTCTGTGGGTCGTACTGTGTATGTTTTGTGTATTTTGTGTATTTTGTGTACTTTGTGTATGTTGTGTACTTGTGGTACTTTTTGTTGCAACACTGACATTTCCCCAGTGTTACACAAATAAAGACTCGTGTCTGATCTTCATGTATGTTTTACTCATACTAATACTACAAAAACTACTGCAAAAACTACTACAAAAACTACTATTACTACTGCTACTATTAGTACTTCTACTACACAGTTGGTCCTTTGTCCCACAGACCAAAGTCCTGAGGCTGAATTCTTTGTCATGCGCCGAACTCATGAGACTCAAATACACAAAACCCCACCAGGACTTTGTCTGGTCTAACCCAGAACTAACCCAGGACTAACCCAGGACTAGTCTAACCCAGGACTAACCCAGGACTAACCCAGGACTCTAGTCTAACCCAGGACTAACCCAGGACTAACCTAGGAGTAACACTGGACTCTGGTCTAACCTGGACTCTGGTTTAACCCCAGTCTCTGGACTAACCCAGGTCTCTGGTCCCAAGACTAATCCCAGACTAACCCTGGTCTCTGGTCTGGTCTCTGGTCTCTGGTCTGGTCTGGTCTCTGGTCTGGTCTCTGGTCTGGTCTCTGGTCTCTGGTCTCTGGTCTCTGGTCTCTGGTCTCTGGTCTCTGGTCTCTGGTCTCTGGTCTCTGGTCTCTGGTCTCTGGTCTCTGGTCTCTGGTCTGGTCTGGTCTCTGGTCTCTGGTCTCTGGTCTCTGGTCTCTGGTCTCTGGTCTGGTCTCTGGTCTCTGGTCTCTGGTCTGGTCTCTGGTCTCTGGTCTCTGGTCTCTGGTCTCTCTGGTCTGGTCTCTGGTCTGGTCTCTGGTCTCTGGTCTGGTCTCTGGTCTGGTCTCTGGTCTCTGGTCTGGTCTCTGGTCTGGTCTCTGGTCTGGTCTCTGGTCTCTGGTCTGGTCTCTGGTCTCTCTGGTCTCTGGTCTGGTCTCTGGTCTCTGGTCTCTGGTCTCTGGTCTGGTCTCTGGTCTGGTCTCTCTGGTCTCTGGTCTGGTCTCTGGTCTGGTCTGGTCTCTGGTCTGGTCTCTGGTCTCTGGTCTGGTCTCTGGTCTGGTCTCTGGTCTGGTCTCTGGTCTGGTCTCTGGTCTGGTCTGGTCTGGTCTGGTCTCTGGTCTCTGGTCTCTGGTCTCTGGTCTCTGGTCTCTGGTCTCTGGTCTCTGGTCTGGTCTGGTCTGGTCTCTGGTCTGGTCTGGTCTCTGGTCTCTGGTCTCTGGTCTCTGGTCTCTGGTCTCTGGTCTGGTCTGGTCTGGGTCTGGTCTCTGGTCTCTGGTCTCTGGTCTCTGGTCTGGTCTGGTCTGGTCTCTGGTCTCTGGTCTGGTCTCTGGTCTCTGGTCTCTGGTCTCTGGTCTCTGGTCTCTGGTCTGGTCTGGTCTCTGGTCTGGTCTCTGGTCTCTGGTCTCTGGTCTGGTCTCTGGTCTCTGGTCTCTGGTCTCTGGTCTCTGGTCTCTCTGGTCTCTGGTCTGGTCTCTGGTCTCTGGTCTGGTCTCTGGTCTGGTCTCTGGTCTGGTCTGGTCTCTGGTCTCTGGTCTCTGGTCTCTGGTCTCTGGTCTCTGGTCTCTGGTCTGGTCTCTGGTCTGGTCTGGTCTCTGGTCTGGTCTCTGGTCTGGTCTGGTCTCTGGTCTGGTCTCTGGTCTGGTCTGGTCTCTGGTCTCTGGTCTCTGGTCTCTGGTCTCTCTGGTCTCTGGTCTCTGGTCTCTGGTCTGGTCTCTGGTCTCTGGTCTGGTCTCTGGTCTCTGGTCTGGTCTCTGGTCTCTGGTCTCTGGTCTGGTCTGGTCTCTGGTCTGGTCTCTGGTCTGGTCTGGTCTCTGGTCTGGTCTGGTCTCTGGTCTCTGGTCTCTGGTCTCTGGTAAAGGTTCAAATCGTGAGTTTTAAAGGATGTAAATTAGAAAAGGGACAAATTTTTAGATTCAGCTGAAAGTTTGAAAAAACATCAGTGATTTTACAGATGTTTTTGTCACTGCACTTTTATATTCTTAGAGTTTTAAGTCGACATGTAACGATCCAAATCCAAATATCTCGGTACGATATTTATTGCGATATTTTGTAGATGTGACACTTTTTTGCTTTTAAAACACCTTGAAATGTTTTTGGTGTGAATTATTTCTGTCATAATCCCAAGAATTCAAGTTAAAAACACATTTCTTCGTGTTGTCTGAGCTGAAATGAATCATGGGAAATGTAGTTCTCCATGTTTATCAACTGAAGTATCATAAAACACATTTAAGCAAAGGATTAATACTCCCTACAACTGTACAACTCACCCTTATGTGACAGATAATACTCCCTACAACTGTACAACTCACCCTTATGTGACAGATAATACTCCCTACAACTGTACAACTCACCCTTATGTGACAGATAATACTCCCTACAACTGTACAACTCACCCTTATGTGACAGATAATACTCCCTACAACTGTACAACTCGCCCTTATTTTTGTTGCTTTGTTTTTATGTTGATTATATTTTGTTGTCTTCAACAAAATACAATAAAGTTTTATTTAATTTTTTTCTTATTAATAAAATTAAAATTAAAATTAAAACTGGGGGACTAGATGACGTCATCAGCCGAAAATTTAACTGATCATATTTTAAGAACCATTATAAAAAATAAAAATAAAAATCCTGGTTTTATAATAGTACAATTATTTATTGCATTAAATTTCCAGTTTGTGATTTTTTCAAATAAAATAATAATTTGACCAAAACCACGAGACGAGTCAGATTTTTTTCATTTCATTGAATATTTTATTGCACTTTTCATCGTTACAGAAACATTTGATTTAAACTTTTCATTTTTGTGACTTTTTAAACCTCGTGCTGTGAGCGTCCAAATATATTACATCTGTTTGCATAAATAATTCACCACACAGTAAAACTCCGTCACATTATTCAGTCCCAGAGGTTGGCGGTTTGAATCCCGTTCCCGGTGATCCAAGCTGCCATTGAGCAAGACACTTTTACCCATAGATTACCGTGTATTCACCATTTGTTAAAAAGTTCTGTATTGTTTCCGTCTCTTAACACGTTTACACTGCCTGAGCTCGACCCGGAGGTTGGCAGTTTGATTCCTGACGTTGTGCCCTTTGGCAAGACACCCACTCCCATCTCGTAAAACACCGATTAAAGCTTGAAGCATCATTTAACACTGAACACATGATAATATTACTTGTGTTTGACCCGGGGGTTGGCGGTTTGACTCCCGCCGTTGTGTCCTCGGGCAAGACACCACATTGTAAAACACTGGTTACACTTTGATATTGCATTAGTGTCCCCTTAAACATTAAAAACATCAGATTACAAAGTCCGTCTTGTTGTTTCCCATCTTTTTTTTTTTTTTATATTTCAGTCTCTTGTCAAACTCTCTTCTGATTGGCCCGTCGGGAGTGTCCCGAGTCACGTGACCATTCCCGAAAACCGTTCCTCCACGTGGGAAGTTGGCGGTTTTCTTCCGGGACGTTGGCGTGGAACCGTTCCCCGGCTCCACGCGCCTTCAAACGCCCCTAAGCCCCGCCTCTTCAGGGTGAGAGGTCGCGGGGAAGCGTTGTGATTGGTTGACGGCTGATTCCGCGTCACATTTGGACTTTTTTGTTCAGTTTATGTCTGGTTTTCTTCAGCGGGCCTGGAGCTCCAGCGCCGGCACCCACTGGTTCTTGCATCGGCTCTCGGCGCAGAAGCTGCTGATGTCGGACAGAGCCTGGCACTGCAGCGGCTCCACCGGAGGATTCTGCAAGAAGGAAAGAAAAAAAACACATTAGACTTTTGACAAATCAACATCAGTTTGGATTTCATGTTGTGTACATTTTGGTTGAGACGCAAAGTCGATATTTAACTTGGAAACTCGCAACAGCAAAGACTTGTTAAATTAAGAAACCTTAAGATTTAAAAGAAATTTCAGGTAAAACCTCAGGGGGACTTGCTGACCATTTAACTTTGAAACTGGCGAAAGCACAGTCTTGTTAAATTGTGAAACCTTAAAATTTAAAAAGCAATTTCAGGGTCAATTTTAGAGGAAACCGAGCCAACCAAGATTTATTGAATCAGTGACTAAAACTTAAATTTTCTCAATTTCAAAACATAAAATATGAAAAGTTTATGGTTGTACTGTCTACCTATGATCTCTTGTATAAATCTGAGATTTTATATTTTATTTTGACTTATACATTTAAATTTATAGTTATTTTGCTACTTATTCAAATCAAAAAAAGTTTGACAATTTTTCATACAAAACATGACAAATCCAAATTGTGCTTCTCACTCCCAAGCGTATAAATAATATAAAATAATAAATGGAAAAGTTCAAGTATTCTTTGGGGAGTTATTATCACCATTTATATTTTTTCTCTTTCTTATATTATTTTCTGAAATAATTTCCCTTGTGGATCAGTAAAGTTTATCGAAGTCTAAAGTGTAAACATTCAAATTACCATTGCTACTAAACAGGATTCCATAGTCATAATTGGATTTTTCTTCCAAATTGCATTTTTTTTTTTGGGTCACAAACTGTAAAAATGTCTTTGTCTACAACTGATGAAGTAATAATTATGATGCTTAAATGAATAAATGGTGAAATTGACCGATAATTTGACCCTGAAGTCGGTTCAAATGTCCATCGCGGCTGTAACCGTATCGACTTCAGCGTCTCTTTGCCGCTGTTCGCTTTTGTGGCGTTGTCGTGGCGACTCACCGTGACCAGGATGCAGTGCAGGTCTCGGGGTTCGTTCCCGTTCTGGTCGGGTTTGTCGTCGAGGAGCTGCCCCAGACGCCGCAGCCCCGACACGCGAACGATGTTTATGTCGTTGTCGCAGCAGAAAGCCTGAAGCAACGTGAAGTGGATCTGAAGAGCGATGTCGTCCACGTCCTCCGAGTCTGTGGCCAGGACGCACAGGACCACGCTGTCCGGGTCACTGCGGAAACACGGGAACACGGAAGTTTAAATAAAACACCAAAGACTCACAAAAGGTGTAAAAACTGAAAATGTGCACGGAAAACAGATCTGAAAATGTGAAATAATTGCGCAAAAATACGTAAGAAAGTCTAAGATAAATGTGTAAACCTGCATGATTTAGACACTGAAACTGAGAATAAATCAATTAAAACTGGTTTAAAATCTGATGAGGTTTTGAGCAAAATACTAATTAGGTATAAAAACGACAGCTACAATTTCAGAAAATTTGCATGGAAAACAGGTCAAAAATTTGAAATCTTTGTGCAAAAACTGGTAGGAAAGTGTGAGATCAATGAGTAAACCTGCAAGATTTAGACACTGAAATTGAGAATAAATTTATGAAAATTGTTTTAAAATCTGATGACGTTTTGAGTAAAATACTAATTAGGTGTAAAAAAGTTAAAATTACAACTAAAATGTGTGAAAATTTGCATGGAAAACAGGTCAGAAATGTGAAATATTTGCCCAAAAATGTCTAAGAAAGTCCGAGATAAATGTGTAAAACTGGAAAATTTCAACACTGAAACTGAGAATAAATTTATGAAAACTGGTTTAAAATCTGGTGACATAATAATTAGGTGTAAGAAAGTAAAAACTACAGCTAAAATGTTTGAAAATTTGCTTGGAAATTGGTCGGGCAAAGTCTTTGATAAATGTGAAAAGGTGCAACACTGCTACACTGAAATTTGTAAGAAATTTTGTTAAAATTCCAGCTAAAAAAAAAAAAACTTTGGTCAGAATTGGTCAGAAAGTCTATAATAAATGAAATTCTACTCCAAAATGTGTAATAATCAGTTTGTAGTTTGAAAAAATGAGCTACAGCAGAATTCAAAGTTTAAAAAAAGTCAAAATCTGGTTCATTTTTGAAAACCGTGAACTGTTTTTGTCGGTCTGGATTCGCCCAGACTGAAATGTTCTAAAAATAGCCTCCCTCGTGTTTACATCTGGGAGCGTTTCTAAATTTAGCTCTGGGCGTGACGTCTGCGGACTCAGCATTTTTTCACCGTGACTCCTCTGTTCCCTCTGTGCGCCACAAAAAACCCTCGCCAAAAAACTCCTCACGCTCAACGTCAACGCCAACAACCGAAACATTTCAAACTCAATTAACCCGACCCTGTCAAAAGGAAGCGGCTGGCCCTGCGCTTCAGCTTCATTCGGATGCAAATGTGACTCTACAACAGTCGTGTATTCACTTAAAACCAAAGATAAAAGTGACTAATTACATATTAAGAATAACTAATTGGCTAGAACGCTTTAAGGACTACAATTTCTTCATTTAAGACTACAAAAATGGCTGAAAGAGACTCATTATGATCAATTTCCTTAACAGAATGAGACCATTACGAGCCACTTTGCTATTTTTGGTTATTTTTATCCGCGTTTAACCTGATTTAGGCTGTCGTTGTTCCATTATTAGAACATTCCAGTGGAGCAGTTGCGTAAAAATAGCTTTCCAACTAAACATAGCCACGTCCCACTGAGTATTTTAAGAACTGGAGCTAAAAATAGACGCGCGGAGGGGGGGGGGGGATTACGCGGGTGCCATTTTGGTGAGCACGCACGCTCCTCACGCCGTGTTGACTCATCGTAGGAGACATTTTAAGGCTTGAACTTTTGCAGACGTGACTAATGTTTAAGAAAAATGAAAAAAAGGGTGAGGATTTGTGGAGGTGCTTACACATTCATGAGCTTGGCGGACTCGTACACGCCGACGGTGAGGCAGTCGCGTCTCTGCGCCGCGACCAGCAGCGACTCCAGAGCGGAGCTTACGGTCTCCATCCTGCAGAAGCACAAAAACAGACTCATGTTAGGATAAAATGTGCAAAACAACGCGTTAGAGCACGTCAAAATGCATTAACGTGCGCCAAATCGTGCTTGGAGTGTTTGAGTGCAAGCGTTACGAAGGCATTTCTGCGCGTAACGACACATTTTGATGATTTTATTCCCACTTTTTGACCTGTCATTGCTGCAATCGAGTTTAAATTTGGGGCAAACTGACATAACATCGTTTCTAAAAAGCACAAAACTCAAGATTACGGAGTCGTTTCGTCATGAAATGTTTGCCAAATCTGCGTCACGGTTTGATTTGCTCGTGTGCGTAAATTTGGTCAGAGAAACGAAACAATTTGAGAAGTGAAATTCCTCTTTAAAAATTCCACCTCTACGCAATCACGTCGCTTGCAAAAAAAAAAAAAAAAAACCTGCCCGGATTTCCAAACGCGTAAAACACAACTTGGGACGTACGTTTGCGTGAAAAATGTGTAAAAAATGTACTTACTTTTTATCTGCAGTGCTCGATCCGACGACTTCTTCAAGAGTCATGTTGAAAAGCGGTGAAATAATAATGATAATGTTAATAATTCCCCCAAAAAACGTGAAGTTATCCTTAAAATCGTGCAGGAATAATCCAAAGTGCGCTGCGTAAAAGCTCGAAAAACAGTAATCCGGTGGTGAAATCGTGTAAAGTCCGATGTTTTTTGGTGATTCGTGCGTGAGTTTGTAGGATTCTGAGCGGGAGGACCGAAGCTGGAGCGGCTTTTATACGCCCCGGGAGCCGGACACGTCACCCCCGCCCCGCGCTCCCAGACGCGATTGGCTCCGGGCTCCAGACGGCGGTCATTGGCGGAGAGCGAAGCCGACGGAGGCGCGCCCCACGTGGGATGGAGTTTCGGAGAATCCCCCCTCCCTCCCCGGTGCGTCCCGTGTCCTGTGCGCCGCCGGTTTCTCTCTCGTGGGTTTTTTACTGGAAGCAGAAAGTGGAGTTCTGTCTGAAATAAAAGAAAAAAATAAAAAAGGACATTTCGAGACGTGGAAAAAAAAAGGCAACAGAGAGACGATGTGAAAAGGCCAAAGCGAAACCTGCCGATGCGTTTAAAGTCCCAGTTTCGAGCTTTGAGACTTAAGATTTAGACAAAAAAAAAAAAAAGAGGAAAAATATAAATGCTGATAATAAATTCTAATCAAATTTTAGTCAAATACGGCATAAATATGTAAATGCAAATGTCAAAATAAATAAAAGGGAAAAAAAGAAAAAGAAA